AGTTTTTATATGGCTTCCATTTTACTTTTATTCTGCTGATAATTGTTTTTTACTAGAAACAAAATGTTGAACCACGGTTGACTACATGGGAGTCCAGCAACAGCCATTACACTAACTGCTGGTCCCTTATTTGTCTTTCATCTTTTGATGGGCACTGACAGGTTTCTTCCACTTTCTGGTTATTAAGAATAATGGTGCCATGAACATGGATGTTCCATTACTCTCTGAGATCTTGCTTTCAATCTTTTGGGTATATGCCCATGAGTAAAATTGCCAGATCACATAGTAATTCTACTTTTAAATTACCAAAGAAATTAAATACTGTTCAATTGCAATTTTTAAAACTCATTAATTCAGTCATACTACTTTCTTTTTCCAAACAGTCCTTAGAAATACACAGAATAAACCACAAAATTAGGGACCAGCAGGTAGCGTAATGGCTATGTGGCTGGACTCCCACATAGTCGACCACGGTTCGAGTCCAGGACCCGGTGGCTTAAACTTGTGCCCAAGATCCCGAGAGGAGAATGGAGGAGAAGGGATTGCAGCATGGCCATCCCGCCTGGCGGGTGATTTCTCACTTTCTGTCTGTCTCTGTCTGGCGAGTGCACGCGCCCTATGGCAAAAACCTCCAAAAAAGGGAAAAAGAAAAAAAAGAATAAACCACAAAATTAAACTGCAACCCATTCAACTTCAATATTTTGTTTCTATCATGAGTTTCTTGATGACCTAATATAAAGACGTATGCTTTATCCATTTTAATGTGTTTTTGTTGTTGTTGTTAATAGGGTACAGAGAAAGCACTTTCAAAACTTCATGAGTATTTCCCTGAAATGCAGATTCTTGCAGTTAGTGGGAATTATTGTACTGATAAGAAACCTGCTGCTATAAACTGGATAGAGGGAAGAGGGAAGTCTGTTGTTTGTGAAGCTGTTATTCCAGCCAAGGTCGTCAGAGAAGTAAGTGATTGGAAAAACACTTAATGTTGTTATATTTATTTTGTAATCTTTAATTAAATTTAAAAATCAGGGAAAGGGATGCTGGCAAGTGGTGTGATGGTTAAAGGTACTGGACTCCCACATGGTTGACCATGGTTTGAGTCCTGGACCTTGCTTTCTCACTTTTTGTTTCTCTTACTCTGTCCCTCTGTGGTCAAATTAAAATAAATAAATAAAGTTAAATAAAATAATTCTTAAAAAAGAAAAAATCAGGGAAAGGAATACTGGTTTAGTATCCCTTATCTAAATTCTTAGGAATTTGGAGATGGAGCTTTTTTTGATTTTTGGATATTTGAATATACATAATGAGATGTCTTAGGGATAGGACCCAAGTCTAAACAGGAAATTTCTTTCTGTTTTTTGTATATCTTATACACAGAGCCTGAAGGTAATTTTATGTAGCATTGCTCATCTGTCTATGTATGGCATTCATAAGAACAAACTTTATTAGCATTTTCAAAAATTGAGGACAGGATATAAATGCAGATACATCTAAATTCTCTTGTTTTCTGGAGGTACAGGTTGGTCTGGGTCACATTCCCCTGAATCCTCTCTAAGATGTACACAAATCTGTTTTCTAGGTATTAAAGACTACAACAGAAGCTCTGATCGAAGTGAACATTAGCAAGAATCTTGTGGGCTCTGCCATGGCGGGCAGCATAGGCGGGTACAATGCCCACGCAGCAAACATTGTCACTGCCATCTACATTGCCTGTGGACAGGTGAGCTCTCCAGCCTCCACCTCTCTCTGTTAGGGTGTTCTAAATAGAGGAAGTATATTGTATGCTTTTTTCTTTCTCTTTTTTTCTAGGATGCAGCACAGAATGTTGGTAGTTCAAACTGTATTACTTTAATGGAAGCAAGTGGTCCCACAAATGAAGATTTGTATATCAGTTGCACCATGCCATCTATAGAAATAGGAACTGTGGGTGGTGGGACCAACCTGCTCCCTCAACAAGCATGCTTGCAGGTATGATGCATCAGGCAGAGTTCAGTGACCTTAAGCCTAGTCTGGCTCCCTGAGATTCTATTTCCATCTGACATAACAGATCTCTCACTTCTCTCTCTTTTTTTTATTTAAATTTTTTGGAGAGATTTTTGCTGTAGGGCACATGTGCTCGCCAGAAAGACAGAGACAGACAGAAAGCGAGAAATTACCCCCCGGGGGCATGACCACGCTGCAGTTCCTTCTCCATTCTCCTCTCAGGATCTTGGGCACGCACGCACACGCACCCAGTGTGAGTTTAACCCTCCGGGTCCGGGACTCAAACTATGGTCGACCACATGGGAGTCCAGCGACACAGCCATTACACAAACTGCTGGTACCTCTCACTTCTATATTTAGCTGGTTTTTTGCTCTTTTGTTCCCCACCAGTGTAATCCAATGTGTCCAAATAAATAGGCATGTGTCCAATAAACTGAGAAAGTATGGCCCAGGTGATGCAGTCTGTAGTGTGCCGGACTGCAGTGCTAGAAGCCATATGGTCAACTGCAGACCATGCACTGGACTTGGGTGTCCCAAAATCCTGACAAGCTGGAGGACTGGAAGGAAGGAGATTGTGCTGTGGCCAAATCCTGTTGAGGGTGCTTTCTTTTTCTTTCTTGCTTGCATACACTCTCTGTACAATGAACTTTTTTTAAAAATTGGGAAAGTAGACTGAGTAAAAGAAGGTTCAGCTACTCTGAGTATAGGCATTGCCGACCAGACAGTGGATGTTACATTAGCTATGGTGTCTGCTGCCATTCCTGGCTATTAAATTTCGGAAATTTAGTACTTCCTGCAGAATCTAGTTCTATTCTGATGTCATAGTAGATAGCCTTTCTTTAGGTGATAGTAATAAATTGCTGCTCATGACTTTAGGGTGAATCTTGCTCTTTCTATAGATGCTTGGTGTTCAAGGAGCATGCAAAGACAATCCTGGGGAAAATGCCCGGCAGCTTGCCCGGATTGTGTGTGGTACAGTAATGGCTGGGGAACTGTCATTGATGGCAGCATTGGCAGCAGGACATCTGGTCAGAAGTCACATGATTCACAACAGGTAAGACTCAAAAATGTATTTAACGTCTTTGTCCTTTAAAAAAATTATGTAGTATAATGGGGCAGCAGGTGGCATGGTGATTAAGGCACTAGATTCCCACATGTCCAACCACAGTTCAAGTGTCGCACTCAGAGCTTTGAAAATTATACTGGGAATGTGTATACATGGCCAAAATCCTGAGAGGAGAATGAAGGGCAAGGAATTATGGCATGGCTACCACCTGGGAGGGTGATTTCTCACTTTCCCTCTCTGACTTTTCTTCGGTGAATGCACATGCCCCATGGCAAAAACTTTTCTTAAAAAAATTCAGTTTTATGGGACCAGCAGTTAGCGTAATGGCTATGTCGCTGGACTCCCATGCAGTTTGAGTGCAGTTCGAGTCCTGGACCTGGTGGCTTAAAACTCACACCAGGTGCGTGTGCGTGCATGCCAAAGATCTCGAGAGGAGAATGGAGGAGAAGGGATTGTGGTATGGCCATCCCCCCGGGGGGTGATTTCTCACTTTCTGTCTCTCTATCTCTGTCTGGAGAGTACACGTACCCTATAGCAAAAATCTCTTCAAATAATCATCCACAAACCATTACTATGTGTACATTATTATTGCTGTTGTGAAAATAGAGGATTTTATTTTTTTATACCAGTTTATATTGTGAGAACACATTTTTGTCAGTTTAGGTTTTATCAATCCTATTATGTTTGTCCTTGGAACATCTTTCATGGAGTTGAAGTTTGTAGTTGAAAAGTTTACTGTAAAAAAAAATAAAAACAAAAAGGTATTGTTTTTAC